TGGTAATGACCTCCTTATTTTTGGTGTTTGTAGATCGGCGACCTTCAGAGCAGCCACGGATCGATAAGTAAATCTCTGGAGGGTTACCCAGATCATTCTGACAGCAAAGATGTTCTCAAACAGCTCAAGGAAGACTTTGCTGCTTTGTGAAGTCACCAGAATTTGCGCTATATGTACAGTGCAATTCCTTAAACAGCGACTCCTTCTGTTATGTAAATAAACTCGCCGAAATTCTCGTACTCTTTAGGGCTTTTCCTTTGTTGTAAAGTCATTATCATACACCACCATGTCCAAAAACAAAAGAAAAGAAAATATAAACCAAGGACAAAATTAAATCAAAACATATCCTTTTTGAATCCACTGCCATTCTAACAAGGAGATCGAGACACAAGCAGTATCTGGATAGGCTTCCTGATTGGAGATGCCCTCATGCCCTCTCTATAGAGCGATTTTTGTACGACCTTGAAAAATGGTTTCCGCAGTAAGGGTTCGTTATTTGTTTTATCACGGGATAGATGAAAAGATAAAATAATGGACTCGTTTTTTTTCCGCCAAATTAATCTCTGAGATGGATAAAAGCATTGGTCGATTATCTTATCCAGTCGGCAGCTTCAGGTTATGGAAAATAACTTGCGCTTGTGTCTGCCCGATAAACCAATCAAATTATTATATCCTTGTTCGTTTACTGTTGTGATTTCGTTCGTGCGTAATTATTCTAAGGTAAATCTAAAATCTCTCTGTCTTTAACTCTTTTTCCGTGGAAAATTTACTTTTTTCTTTTCCCGTACATTCTTTTCTCGCGGTTTTTCTTCGCTAGACAGCCTGTTTACATGCAATACTCTAAGGCGTAGTCTCTATCGAACTTACTTGTTTCTAGAGACCTACATTGTACAAAGTTCATACTATATTGTATATAGTTTACCTTTAAAAACAATAAATTGAAACCGTAACAATTTTCTTAAGGTGAATTTATTTAGCAAAATACAATTCGCAGGCACCTTTATCACAAAGACCTAGGATGCACTGGGTAAAAATTTTTCTCAATACTATGTACAGGAGTGTTCTTTAAATTACCTCTTAAAGCCGTAGCGCTATAAAAAATGATCTCATTTACAACGATCTCTAAAATACACAATGATCATCTTAATCAACCATGGTTGGATGATGGTTTGTCTTGTCCCACCACCCTTTGCCCTCAAGTCTTTAAGTAATTTTTTTTGCAGTAAGTACCTTGCGCAGCTGGCGGAATTGCTTAGGCGCGCGCGTGCGAGAGTTTTATCGCGAGAAAAGTTCAAAGCGTCTCCTCCACATTCGCAGCTGCTCTGCAAAAACGTTTCTCACGCTCACGATCCCGCTGGCTACGTAGGCTAGCAGTGAGTGGAACACGCAACCGAGTGTAAAACGATCTTTTAGCTTTCCAACAATTTTCTTACGATATCCATGTTAAAACTTAATATGCTAATGCAGAAAACAACTACTACAGCGAGAAACGGCGGCAAAGAGTGTCACAACTTAAAAGCGTATGAAAGCAAAAAGATATGCCGCCAGATGACTCAACTGTGTCAATAATTAGAAAATAAAACATTTTCAGATTTTACCTCACAAGATGGATTTTGAAATAAGATGGGAATATTGAAGCACGGGCTTGTTTCTGTATTTGTCGGTCAAATCAACAACACAAAAAAAGTTACACGATGTTCAGACACCACCTTTTTCCGATACAGCCTGATTTTAGAAAAAGTGTCTGCCTTTAGAGGCCAATTTTTAAATAGCCTTAGAAATAAATACCTATATAATTATATTACGAATTCAATTAAAAGCATAGCTGCATGATAAATGAATCAGTTAACTGTTACACTTTAAATTAATTTTAATAAACTTTAAATAATGACATTTCCTTTCGAATCATTACTGCCATTGTCCTCATCATATTTCTAAAATTGTTGGAAATTCTACAAACCAGACCAATGATCTAAGATTTAGTTTACGACACAAAGAAGAATACTTGCAGAGCAGTTAGAATATAAGCCCGTGGGAGGGGGGTACTCCCTATAATGGCCTATACGGGGAGGCTCCGCCCGGAAGGGGTATCTCAGGCTTCAGGTATTAAAGGGTGGGTACTTCACAAGTTGCAGTATATGAAAGAGTAGGAAAATCTGTAATTTCGACGGGATACGGAATTTCTGTCGCTGAGGCGCAGACGTCACTCCTGGCGAAATGCCCCTAGAGGCGAGGAGCTAATAAAAGAGACGAATATTTTCGCAGGCTATACAATTTGTCAATACAAGGTACTATACAAAAGGGATACCTTTTCTGTCAAAAATGGTATATAACAGGGTAAGGGGTTGGACCTCAGGGTGGAGCCTCCTTGGATAAAACATTGTTGAGTAACCCCAG